AACATTCATGAATCAAAAATATGAGTAAGGAGCAACAATTTCAAAAATTACTACGTGACGTGGGAGAGCTTTATGCTGAGTGAACTCAGTTCCATAAGAATAAATACTGTGTAAGACCATTATTGTAGAAATAGATAACAAGGAAAATGTGCATTGGGATCCAAAGAGGAAAGGGATGGGATCTGAGGAGAGAGGACAAGAAGGGGGGTAATCATAGGGCTGCACAATTTAGTAGTAGGTGGAGGGAGGGAAGGGTAAAGGAAATGGGGAAGATTCGGTGGGAACCTGGGAAGACAGGATAATGGTGGGCAAAGTTCAATGATGATTCTATAAAACATAATGAATGGGAATAATTGTATGAAACACAATGTGAATGAAGGATAGTGTGGAACAAATGCATATAAACTTTGCAAGCAATCAATATACAATAAAAAATATTTTAAAAAATAAAGGATGTGTACCCTCATTTTACTATTAAAAAAAAAAGAATTATGAGTGGCATGATGGGGGAAGCTGAGTGAGGAATTACGTGAATTCCCACCATACTCTTCTTTGGAACACATTTTATATCTTCTACAATTAATATTTTTAAAGAGAATCCTAAACTAAGTAAGACCTCATATACTTTTTATTTATAATCTTTATTTTATACTAGTTTACTTATAAAGTGTGTACACATGACCTTAAATATTTTTATAAAATTTACATTATGATCATAATGATAAATTGGACCATAAATGTTCTCTCTACACTGTACAATTTATCTGAACTTTCTAAATATTCATTTGATTCCTTATAACAAAAAGGTGCAATAACCAAAATTTTTAAGGAAAACTTTATTATAATTTTTAATTTCATCTTTCAATATAAAATCTAAGTAAACCTTTTCTCTCCATTTACATGTGAAACTGTAGTCCCTGTTACAAGCAAATTCATTTTTAGTGCTGTTGATTTTTGTTCCTTTAGATAAAAACAGACCACAAGTACACCTTGTCAAGAGCTTGGATGTTATAGTTGCACCTCTCTATCCATTTGAATCCATCAGCAGCTCTTCTGTGTTACTAACATCCTCAGAAACCCAATGGAGGTTTAGCTATGAGTTGGTACAAACTCAATGGCAATGAGAATGTGCACTATGCATATGAGATCATCCTACCATTACCTTCCTCCTAAAAAACTGATAATCTCCAAATAGTCTAAGTTCTCCATAAAAAAAAGCCTAGTGAGAAAGAGTAAAGAACCAAAATAACTGCTGCAAATTAGTGCAGGGAGCTGATGAGGAGTTGCATCAAGCCCAGGAAAAGAAATGTCAGTGTGACCTTCAATGTTCACAAGAAAAGTCAAGATAATCTAATACACAGATAATTCTTTCAGAATTTCATTCAGTCTTGTCTTCAGTGATTTTCAAGTGCCTTAAAGGATGGCGTATGTTTTTTACTTTAAGATCGCATAAAACAATCCAGATTCAAGCACTTAATAAACTATAAATTACTTCCTGCTTGAAATTTAGGGTACTAAGACCCACCTTAAGATTTCATCAAATACCTATTATTTAAAAAGATGCAGGTTGGGGAGCTCTGGTGGCCTGGTGGCAAGGAGCTGCAACTACAATCCCAGAGGCGAAGGAGGGACAATCTCCTCCTGTACCAGTCAGATCTGATTTGACAGTACACTCACACAAAAATAATAAAATAAAATAAAAATAAATAATTTTAAAATTAAAAAAAAAAGATGCAGGTTTAGTACTACGAAGAAATTATAAAGTGTCAATCCAATTAAGTACCAAAGAATCAGATCAGGATCCTAAACTAATAATGATTCCTTTTCATATCTATCAGAAACTCCAGCAAGTTGTCCAGGCTTTGAAATGCACAGGAGGCAAGGGTCCATCTTTCTCTCTTGGAGCCACTAATGGATTCAAACCACTAGAGAGGCAGCCTTTGGGTTAGTAGTGCAACTCCCTATGAACTACTTCACCAGAGGCTCCCCAACTATGATAATTTGTTCATATCATCACACAGAGAAAATAAAGAGCACATGAGGATAAACTGAAGATACTGTTCATTCATGAAAGGCAACAGTCTGTGGATACACAAAACAGCCAATATACTTTTAAATTACTTGTGCTTCTCTAATTCTAGAGAATATTAATAAACCTCCAAAAATTTTATTCTATCATATTACAGAAAAAACCAAACCTACAACATCTACACAAAAATTTCTGAGCAGCTTTCCAATCCTGAACAAATAATCCAATCCAGACTAGTACTCTTTTCCTACTGTGTTAATGAATTTATGAACTTGTATCAACTGTAAAGTAGCTAATTTATATATGGCTAAAGTGCTCAGCAGCAACAGAAAGGGTTCCAAGACACCAGCAGCTTCCTAATCAAAACATGTGGCTTTCTGTTTCCATTAATATTTACAGACAGTGTTTAAAATCTTATGGGACAGTTTTATTCTAGGGGAGCTGTGGAAATAACTGAGTAGCAATGGGTTTAGGTTTTGGGATTAACTATGAAGTCTTGCGTGTATTAACATTGTGTCAATCTTTAAAAATTCCAATAGTGAAGACTTCATCTTACTATGGGTAAGTTGTCTGACAGAAGGTACCATTCCCTGGGGGAGGTTATCATGCTTGGCAGAGGGTCATCAAAAGTGGAAGACTCTCAGAGAGTAACACAGTAACTGCAATAATGAGCTCAAACATAGCAAAACTATAAGGAAAGCACAGGGCTGTGCAGTGTTTCTCTTCGTGTACATAAGTTGACTGAAAGAGAATCAAGTAAGTGACATCTAATAATAACGCCACTGCTGACCACTGCAACTCATGGTGACCCCCCACTTGGTTTCTGAGGCTGTAAATCTCTTTAGGAGCCCACTGCTCATCTTTCAGGAAGCAGCTGGTAGATTCAAACCATCAACCTATAGGTTAGCAGTCTCACACATTATGCACCATTATAGTAGATCTCCTTAACAACAATAAAGAATTATTTTTAACTACAACTTTCCCAAGTTATGCTGTTTAGTTAAATTTATATTCCACTTTAAGTTTTCAGTTAAAAAATATAAAAAAAGGTGTAAATAAAATGAGTTTCAATTACAACCCTGAAACAAAAGTCCTGAAAAAAATACACTTAAGTCCATGATGTCTTTGGCACTTTATATTTTCTTCCTGAAAACTTTTTTCTGCACTTGAAGTTGGTAACTCCCATTGAAGGTGAATACACCATCTAGAAGAAATACTAATATTTTCTAATTCTTTTAAACAGAAGTTTATTTTCTTACAGTTTGTTGCTGTTATGTGCTGTTGAGTTAATACCAACTCATAGCTGATCCTCCAGCTGGTTTTCAGAGACTGTAAATCATTAAAGAGGAGACTGCCCACATTGCTTCCACTGAGCAACTTGTGGATTCAAGCTACATTCCTTTGAGTTGATAGTGCAACTTACCACTAAGCTGCCAGAGCTCCTATTTTCCAATACTTTTTTTTTTAAGAGAGATCTGGCTTGTACTTTTTCCAAAGCATATATGTTTGTTCTGTTGGCAGTCCTTCAGATACGACTTTCAGTGCTCTTCTCCAACACAATAAGCTAAAGACACCAACTTTTTGTTATCTTTATTCATTCTCCAGCTCTCAGATACACTGCAAATGGTTGGAAAGACATGGTCTTAGGCCTAAAATTTACTAAACTAGAAGTCAAACCAGAGTCCTATTTTCCAATTTTTAACCAAATCAAATATGCTGCCATTTCTGTGATGAGAACCTGACCTGAGTGGATTTAAATTTCTATTTGTACACTCCTAGAGAAGCATCTGCTTCCATTCTTAGATCAAGATTTTCATGTGAAAACAAAGATAAAAGCACATGTATGTAAAGTAAGTTTCAATGTAAACTCAAGAGAAAGGAGTTCTCTAAACTGCCAATTGATTTTCAAAACATTCTTTCCACCTTAATAACACCAACCTCTAGCAGAGACTAAAAGAGACCCCTACAATGAATTTCTTAAACCTGCAATCACCAAGCTAAGAAACCAAGGAGTACTAAAGCATATTTAAAATATGAATCAACAGGAAAAAAAGCAGCACACCCACATTCTCCCTCTCTAACTTCAAAGAACATTCAGGTCTAAATGGTAAAGTAAATGCTAATATCCTCAAAACCACCACCACATACTACTCTTTTTCTTCTAATAAAGACTTAATATAGTATCTCACAGATATGTTTTGGCTCTCAAAAAAAAAAAGCAGATTCGAATCAAATGCTTAAAGCTGAAAAGAACCTTTGAACTATCAAGTAGTTTCAGATTTTAGAGGAAGAGGCTGAATGAAGCCGCTAACTAAAGACAGTCAAAAACTGCTATGTAAGTTCAAACAGAAGACAACCCTCTAACAAGACTGCCCAACACTATTAAAAATAACAACTCAAATTAGGTTTTCTATGTATACAAATTACCACACATATATACACACTACAAAATGAAAGACTAAGATTCAAAATCAATTCTGATGGTGCCAGTTATTTAAAAGCACAAGCTGCTGTACACAACAGGTCATTCTGAAAATTCAGCCTTAAATATGACTAACTTTCAAGAATGTAACCTTTCTCATCTTACAATGTTTGTGTAAAATACACTTCCTACCTTCAAGAGGTAACCTCAGAAAACTAAGCCACGCTTTACACAGTAACAAGTAATAAATCTGTTCACTTTCACTAAGAAAACCTGCAGGCCAGTGCCCACTCTTTAAAGTTTAAAAAACATACACCACCTCCATCTTGAAAACTGTACTCTGGATGCTTAAAAGTTTCCAATTCAGCCAGGAATAATAAAGTAAAACTGAAAATGACCAAACTGATAAGAAATTAAAAATCAATGTAAAATTTCCCCAAAAAACTTTTTAATTGTAAACTGATAAGCAATTAAATATCAATTAGTTCTTTAAGTTGCCTGTATATATACATTTATGTATATATTTAAGTTGTACCAAAAACTGCTTACAAATGGCAACTCCTGTGAAGTAGATGATGATGAAGTTCCAGGTAATTCTAGCATGTTTCCTAATGTACTGGTACTGGATTCTGGATCATCCTGAAAAGATAAATTTATTGAGTTTAATTGCTCTTCTACGGAAACGTTTGTATCTCCTAGTGAAAAGGGGGCAGGGAGAAGGGCTGTATTTTCACTGCTGCCGTCCACTTCATTTCTTTGCTTATTTTTCTGCGTTTCAGTTTGAGGAGCTAATGGCAAGAATGGTGATTTGACTGCACCGGGTCTACTCTCTGATGTGCTGTCTTGGTCACTTCCCACGGCCACTTCTACACCATTCTCTGATTTAGGCTCATAATTGCAGGAGGCATTGGTCTGAGTTTCCTCAATGATCTCCTCTATACTCTCATCCTCTGTGACTGGCTGTTCTGGGTCCATTTCAGAATCTACATCTGCATCGTCCACACAAGTAAAATTCTCAAAGTGCAGAAAACCATTCTTGATAGTCTTTGTTACTTTTACCTGGAGTTCAGGGGAGTTATTACAAGAGGGTTCCTGTTTCATAGGAAGTGCTGTTGGACCACCGGGACTCAAGGAAGTGCAAACAACTGGCGACTGAGCTCTTGAATCACTTTTTTCAGGGTCTTGAAAGGATTCTGATCCATCAGCAGACCCATTTAAATATTCTACATTGATCATGGAGGCCAAATCCTGTAGTCTCCGCAGTGGAATGTAACAAGATGGAGAATCTTGTCCATAAGCATTTTGGGATGTTCCACTGGCAGTCGGTAACTGCATAGTACACCCATTAAGTGGCTCAGAAAAATTGGATTGACCATTACCGAAAGGGCTATCCTTGTCTTCTGGGGCATCTAAATTCACTGGATTGGAAAAAGGCAGCAGACAATTTCTTCTGGGTAGTTCACAGGTCTGATCCATCCTGTGCTGGCATCAACCTGAAATCCAAAAAAAATACTAATTAATTCGAGTTAACGGATCAGTTGGCTTCTCTCTTCAAAATGGCAGCCACTCAAGGCCTAGTGGCCTCGATGCCTTTCTGCTGCACTTCCATGAGCGGAAAAAGTTCCCGTGGCTGACGATGGAAAAATGGCCTCAGTGAGCCTCTACAAACTCCATCTTCCAGAAGCAGGGCAGAGCTTGCCACATGGAAACACCAGGCCCTTTTTTGTGCACTGCAGCCTAGTGGGCTGTCTGGCTAAAGTAAAATTAAAATCTCTCTGGCAGTCGAAATTCCCAAATCCTCAAGCTGGAAAAGTGAGCGTACCCCCTACTTGCACCCAGAGTCTAGCAGCCAGATCTCCGGAAGGGAGGAGGCTGTGAGATTCGAGGGGGGCTCCTGGTCGCTGCACAAAAAGGCCACCCCCTCGGCATTCCTGGCTCGCTCGGGCGCAGCGGTCACAATAGCGCTGCACCCTGCGCCCGGCCGGCGCCGGAGCCTCCGCAGCAGCCGCGTTAAGGCCGCAGGCTGGGCGGCCGACACGGCTGCAGCCCCGACGCTCGCCTTCCCGTGTGCAGGCCGCTCGGTCCGCAGCTGCTAGGGCCAGAGGCTGGGACGCAGCAGGGGGAGAAACAGAGGCAGCCGGCGAAGCCCACTCTGGGCAGCAGCTGCTGCTACAGCTTGACAAACATGGCTGCTGCCGACACCGCCTGCCCGGGCTAGGTTCCCTCCCTCGGCCGCGGCGGCACCTCCCGGCCGAGTCGAACGTACTCATCAATATTCAGCAGCAAGCAAAGTTTGCTGCAGGAGGCCACCCGGCCCCGCGCCCCCAGCCGGCTACCTGCGGGGAGGCGGAGGCCGGGGTGCGCGCGGTCGCCCGGCCGGGCAGGGGCCGCGCCGGGAGGAAGTTCGCGCAGCGGGCCAGCTAGGCCTGAGCCCTGCTGGTAGTGATGGAGGGGGCCTGTGGCTGCAGCTCGCCGGCAACAACCCCGCGCCGCGCCTGGCCCCCCTCGGCTCCCCTCACCTCACAGCCACCACCATCTTCCCCGCCCGGCCTCCTCCTCCCTCGTCCTCCTCGCGCTTGCCCGCCGCCCAGCCCAGCACACTAGTTACCGTGCCCCGTGCCCCCTCCCGGGCCGGCTGGGGGGGAGGGGGTGACCCTCATTACACTGGGGTGCGAGCGGAGCAGAGGGGAGAGAGAGGAGCCGCTCGCCGCACCCCCCTCCCCCCGCGTCTCTCTTCTGGGGAGAAGGCAGCGAGCCCGACCTTCCCCGGCCTATTCCTCCGCCGCCTCCTCCTCCTCCTCACACCCCCACCGCGCGCGCCCCCGCCGCGGCGCGTGCAACCGAGCGCCTCGCGCTGGTCCGCGTGCGGCTAGGGCCTAGAGTGCGCGCGCGCCCCTTCCCCCACTGCGCGCGCTCCCTCGCCTCACTCTTTGGGGTTCAGGGCGGGTGAAGTCAGGCTCGCGAGCGCGCCGCCCAATCAGCGGAGCAGCCGCCGCGGCCCCCTCCCCTCCCCCGCGCGCCCGCTCACGGCCCGGGCCTACGGGCCGGCCTGGCTGTCCGGGCGGGGCCTGAGGCGGGCTCCCCTGGGGCTTCGCGCGCCTCCCCGGAGTGTCGGGGCCTGCGGGCGTCGTGGGTGGCACTCCTGTACCTTCACTTACCTCGGGGCGCCGTGCCGGCCCCGGGCTGCACTCGATTCCTGCACCCTACCCGTCTCTAGCCCCCTCCCTGACGGCACCTGGCCCAGCTGCGGCCTGTCCGACCGCCCCGCCAGCCCCGCTCGGGTCCGCGTCAGTCCCGGCCTCCATCTTAGGTTACAGCCCGGACTCCCCATCTACAGGGCACCTGCCCTCAGTCCGCTCGAATCGGTCTGAGGCCAAGGCAAACCCCCCTCCAGTCACGGGGCTCACCTGGGGGCTGGGGCTGGGGTCTTCGAGGCCTCAGGCCCTGAGCAGGCGCAGCCGCAGGTGAACCCCCTGCCCGGCCGCACCCCAAACCCACACCACTACCACAGACCAAGCTAAGCAGGAAACAAAATGGAGGCAGCAGCTCGGGTCTGCTTCCCTGAGCCAAGCCTCTGCAACCTCAGGGATCCCTCCTGCCGCAGGCCTAAAGCCCACAAGACAGGGGGCTGTCTCGCCCCGGGCGCCGCCGACAGCCGCCTGAGAGCAATGCAGGCCGGGCCGGGAGTCGGCCCTGCGGTACCCACGGCCCCTCACCCACCGCCCCTTCCCTCCCCCTCCCGCCCATTCCCCTCCCTCCCGCTGCCTGGCCGTGCGGGGTGAGCGGCTCTGGGGAGCCGGGTCGGGTTACCCGCCCGGGCACTGCCCGCCAGGACGCACCCTCGGCTAGGGGATGTGGCCGGATGACCCTCGTGCTGAGCCCACCCCCGCAAACCGAGCCTGACAACACACTCGCACCTCGGCTTGCCGCTGTGCGGCCCCCGCCCCACGAAGCTGAGCCCCAAGGCCCGGCACTGCAGGGACGAAGCTCCCTCACCACCCACGGGCCCAAGGATCCTCGCTTTTCAGGCGGAGCGAGGGGAATCCTAGGGGAGGGGTCCACTAGCCTTTATGCCACCTCCCTCGCCTAGTCTGGGTTTGGGCCTGGCATCGGGGCTCAGGCCGCGGGCGCAGGCGGGCGTGAGGAGGTGTGTGCGCGCAGGGGACCAGGGCTGGGGGCCGGGAGAAGCTGCGCCTCGCACCGCAGACGCTGCAATTCTCGGCGCCCAGGCAGATGGCCCTCTCGTGCCTCGGCCGCCCCACGCAGGCCTCCAGTCTCCCCGGGGAGCGCGCGCCTTGCCCTTGCGGGCCACGCATTGGGACCTGGGCGGAACTGCGGCGGGAAAGTCGTTCGCGGGTGTTGACTGGGCCAACGCCTGTGGGGCGTAAACCCCAGCGAGGGGCTCCCCACTCTCCACCACCGGGGACCTCGCAGCCTTCACCCAGCATGCTGGGCGCCGCAGCCACAGGCCTGGCGCGGCACGGTGCGTCCAACCCAACAAAGGCTGCGCAAGGGCCGGATAGGAAAACGAAGCCGAGCCTGACCTCGTGATTCCAGTCCCCCAGGCTCTTACCCTAGTTGAGCCTGACCATGCTACCCTTTGCTTTGCTCCCCAGCAAGAGCCTCAGGTTCGGTGCAAGCTAAATCTAAAGTGCTGAAAACACCCTCACTGTTGAGAGAAAGTCACAATCCACCGCCTTAAAATTGCCGCCTCCTCCAGAAAGTCTTCAGTGATTAGATATAGGATTAAAGCCATCTCAAAACTGAGGGCGCCGCCCTCGATAACCACGTGACTAGCATTCCTCCCAAACCAAAAAAAATCAAAACCCAGGGTTTAGTGAATGTACGGAATTATTGCCCTAGTGAAGTATATACTCTTCTTAGCTTTTCTGTTAACTGTGAACCCACTTGCGAGGAGGCCACTCTTGGGATTTCCCCAGGGCTGGCATCAGAGTTGAGCAGGCTCTGGACTTGGGTTCTCTGGCTTTCCCCTCCCCCCTCCTCCCTTCCCTTTCCTCCCCACTCCTGTGGCGTGGTGTGACAGAGCAGACAGGAGGGCTCCCGATGCCCCTAATACTTCCTGCTCCCCAAAGGCCCAGGGTCCACAGACGGAAGCTCACAAGTAAACAGCTCCTAAGCACACGGTGACTCAGATAGCCGTCCTGCCAAGACAGCAAGTGGACTTTGTTAGCAAGAAAGCACCTCTTGGAACCAGAGTGAAGAAGATTGCAGGCTGATTTTCTTGGAAGAGACTGAGGTACCCAGAGTGTTCCGAGCTGAGCAGCAAAGTCAAATTGACAGTGTCTGTGGGCCAGGACCAGCCAGAGAAGAACTGAATCTGTATCCCAGACACCAGCCCTTTGTCCTGCTAAAGAATCACTCTTGCTAAACCCATTCCAAGCAATTTTAAGGGATATATGACTGGTTCCTTAACATTTAATAATTTTAGCCAATAACTTCTGACTGACACGTAAACCAATGAAAGCCAAATCCTTTGCATGGGCTCATGATAACTCTTTAGGACAGAGTAGAACTGCCCTATCGGGTTCCCAAGCCAAAAATCTCTTTACAACTGGAATGCCACATCTTACTCCTTGCAAACTATAATCATTCAGTTAGCAACCCAGTACTTTCACACTGTGCCACTAGCGGTCTTGACTGACAATTGTCAATTGCACCAAATCATTCTCCCAGCCCCTTACTTTTTCACCAGTCATTCTGAAGTCTTGAGATCCTTCACTGTATGGCTTAGCACTCAAGACACCAAGCCTCTTGTTTCCTCACCTGTAAAATGAAATGGTGACTGATAAAAATATTCAGTGTATGTGAGGTTCATATCTGGTAAAGGTAAGTGTTTGTAGCCTGTATGGATGAATGATGAAATATAATTTGATTAACAGCAATTTCCTAAATATCAAGCAGTATGCTGGGACAAGAAAGATGAGATAACTGCCTCAGAGAGCTCTAGGCCTCAAGAGAAGACTGTGCTTGCCTCTTATAGGACAACTTGGCCACAGAGGCCTCAGCCCCTTTTTGAGCCTTTCCATTCAGCTGGCCCCTTTCGTTGTACCCACTCTGAACATATACACAAGGCTTTGTTCCCACTAGGACACTGAGTTCTGAAGTGGTCTAAGAAGGTGTAGCATTGTGCCTTAGCTCTCTTTTCAAGGTCTATGCCTACAGCCTTAAAACAGAACCAATAAATGCTATCTGCCCTTATTCTGTGTGCTGGGCACTTACTGAACACATAGCATTAGTCCTTTTAAACTTTTCACTTGGCATGTGAAGAACTGAGATTCAAGGCATTAAGCTTCCACTTTAAGTTAAGGCTTAACACTCACCTGTGATTGGCATTACTCCCTTGCTCTTAGCCAACTCACCCTGTACACAGACAACATCTGTGAAAAGACACAGTATGCTGGCACACAGACCCAGCACACAGGTTACATGGAAATGTGACAGCCAGGCAAAGTGAC